CCTTTTTTCTGGATCACTTCCTTGAATCTTTGACTTTCAAATAGCTTTCAACTCTCTCTCCTACTGGACTTAAAATCCATTGATCTGACCACAGTTTTCCTCATCCCTTCAATGCCTTTGCTTCCCTGCATACTCAGCTTGGTCAATTGTTATAAATCCTGTCTGTCAAGCATTCTCAATTTTCTGTCATCAATCCTTTGTGGTCTCTTTCATAGATCTCAATTCATTTGACTTTCTCTTGGCTAAACTTGCCAGGCACAACTCTTACCCTGGATTAACACAAGTTTATATATCTTTCATTCTTGTAGCAGAATAGCCAAACATGGCTGGAAAACAAATCACAAATCTGTCTTGTTTTAACATCATGAAATTTACTCAAGTAAGCTTTTGGTGTTGCAGAGCAATTTTAGTGTTGTTCTTTTCCCTTTTTCACTTTCTGTTTCATATCTTCTCTCCTTCAGTCCTCTAGTATCATATCCCTGCTCTTCATTCCAGTTTCTACTTTGCTGAGTTTATAGATGCTCCTAGACAAAGAATTCCAAGAGCTCCCATTATCACATCTACTCACCTTTTGGAATCTGTACTCATGCACTCTTCCTTTCCCCCCATTAGAATAAACCCAAAATATTTCTTTTTAAAGTCAAACTCTCCATATTTTCACTTATTCTTACTCTGGCCTCACTGAAGAACATCATTTCCCTCTCCATCATCAAATTATTACTCTCAACTGTGTCATTACTATCAATATTCAAATACATTTTTTTATATTAACTCCATTCCTTCCCTCTACCTAAAGCTTAATTCACTCCTTTGACAACAGAATTTCTTGGGACAATGTTATATATGCAATGTTATAATTTCCCTCTTCCTTTGGATTTTGATGACTATCCCTTGTTATATACCAAAAAAGATCAACTTTAGTCTTCCTCTTATTTGGTCCATCAGCAGAATTTGATGTTTTCTTATTATGACTTTTAGGAAAATACTCTCTTGACATATCTTCTACCTTTCCAACCTCATGACAATGAAGTGACCAGGAGTTTAGACTTTAGATCACATTTTCTTATCTGTCTATACTTAGTCTCTCATCTTATCCAATATCAGGTTTTTGAATCTCATTTACATCTTGAATAATGCAAAATGTAAATCCTTTGTCTGGACATTTATAGAAAACTACTCCAAAATTTCATTTAATTGATCAAAATTGAACACCTGTCTCTTCCAATGCCCCCGAAACTGACCTTTAATTAATGGAAACTCCATTATTCCTGTTTCTTAGAACAGAGATATTGGTGCTATTCTCAACTCTTTTTTATTTCTATGATTAGTCTGATGTTTCAATTTGACATGGCTAAGGAATGTCCATACTGAGTGATGAAGGGTTAGTAAAACATTGTTTCTGGAAGCGATTAGCATTTTAATAGGTAACTGAGTAAAGATCACTATCACCAATGCAAATGGACATCCTCCAATCCACTGAAGTTCTAAATAGAAATTTGTGTGTGTGTGTGTGTGTGTGTCTTCTTGAGCTGGCACTCCCATTTTCTCCTACCCTTAGGTATTGACTGCACAGGTTTCGGTTGGTTGTACTCTGACTGGTACACACTCCATTATCACCCGTGGTTCTCAGATGTTTTTGGCTTGCATGAGAATTATACTACCAGATGCCCTTGGCCACCATCTACTCATAATCAATCTTTCTTACCTCCCTTCCTTCTTCCCTTTCCTTCCTTCCTTCCTTCCTTCCTTCCTTCCTTCCTTCCCTCCTTCCCTCCTTCCCTCCTTCCCTCCTTCCCTCCTTCCCTCCTTCCCTCCTTCCCTCCTTCCCTCCTTCCCTCCTTCCCTCCTTCTTTCCTTTTCCTTCTCTAGATAGAGCGATGATAACTAGGTGTGTGTGTGTGTGTGTGTGTGTGTATGTGTGCGTGTCCTGTTGGTTCTATTTCTTTCTGGAGAACCCTGATATAAATTTCTGAATCTCCACATCTAATTAATCATAAAACCCTATTTGTCCCATTTAAAAAACAAGTGTACTTCAAAAAGCTCACGGAAAATAGAATTTTTAAAGTGTATTTTGCTGTAAAATTTTTGAAATCCATGTATATAAGAGGTCTTCAAAAAGTACATAAAGAATGCATATCATGAAAAAAATGCATGGAAATGAACTTATTTCTTTTTTTTTGCTAAAAATGGACTTATCTTTTAATTTCATTTTTTATGAACTCTTTGAATTGCGCTCATGTATCAAGTATCAGACCACCATCTTGCCACCTCAATTGCTAACACCTGGTTCATAATGCTGGCATCTCTTACTTAAAAACCTTATGATTTGTCTTCCTCGCCTTCTTCCTAACAGTCTCTTATCAACACTGGACCTGCAGTGACCTGTTATGGCAAAAGCCGCGTTTTTTATTCTCCTGTGTGAAAACCAGGGGTGCCTTACTTCCATAAACATCACAACCCAGTCTCTTTTAACCTTTCCTCTTCATCCCTGCCATGCTTACCCCTGCAGTCCACCAGAGCAGCTCAGGTTTCCTCTGTCTCACAACTTTTTCAGTGTAGTTCCTTCTGTCTGGCCTGCTCTCTCATGTTGGAACAACTGCAAAGGGTCAAACATTAGAACTTCCTATAGGGCCAGCAAAGTTTTTTGATCTCCTCCTTCTGCCCAACTCATCTCTTCTCATACTTCAGTTACTAATAAAACCTCTTCCTAAAATTTGCTCAGTGCACAAATTCCTCAATGTCAGAATCTCATGAATCTTGACCAATGCCATTGTACTGGAATTGATCCTAGAAAAGAATCTAAAAGGGAATGTTTGAAGCTGGGTTTTCTGCCAACCAAACAGCAATAAAAATTTCATCATAAGTGGCATAAAGAAAAAGTTGATCTCACAGAAGTTGAAGTTGAGGAGAGAAGGGATTAGGGAAGGAGGGACTGTGAAAACTTGATAATGGATGCTAAGTTACAGTTAGAAAGTAATAAGTTCTGAGGTGCTACTCCACAGTAGGGTGACTTTGGTATATCTCTCTGTTTCAAAAACCTAGAAAATAGAATTTTGAAAATTTTCACCATGCGAAATGTTAAATGTTTGAGTAAACAGATATATTTAAGCTGATTGGACATTACAGATATTATGCATGTGTCAAGACATAACATGGTACTGCATAACTATGTACAAGTTTTATGTATATGCTAATTAAAACAACTCCTTCAGTGGTAGCAGATGGAAAATTGTATTCAGGTATTTGGTCACCATGAAACTATTAAAAGTTTCAATGGCATGGAACTGAGAACAGATAGACATGAAAACTAATTCATTGGCAGGGATACTATCTCAAGAGTTTGAGAATTTCAGGAATAATAGTAATTTTGAGGCTTTTTAAATTGGATGGCTGTGTGTGGGTGGTATTTCATTGGATAATGCCAAAGAAAGTCTGAGAATGATTAATAACTGATATAAAGAGGGTCTCCCATGGCCTGTGGAGAGCAACAACTGAAGAGGCAGCATTTAAAAAGAGTAAGAGCTTTCAGGAAGTGGAATTTTCAGCTCAGGAGGTTGCCATGCCAAGATCAGATCCCAGATTGGGAAGGAGTAGAATTTTGAAAATCGGGTTGTGGATATCTGGATGAAGCTCTTCCAAGCTTTGAATCTCCAGATTCTACTGAACCATTTACTGCCACAGTGACGCATTCCTCCTTGTTAATTAATGGAAGAGCTTGCCTTCTCTTGAGGTGCCTTCCTCAGAATATCAAATGTGCTATCTTTAGGAATGGCCACCACACCCCATCTCTCTCTACTCCCACCCTCCTGCTTGACACCACACCCATACCTAGGGTTAAGTCACAACCTAATCTATTTGAGGAAGTGCTGATTCTGCTGAAGTTGCAAAGGAGTTGTAACTTGAAGGAAAAGCCAGTCAATATATGCTGGCAGGATCCAGGGGAATATATCTGGACTGGGTTCTGATGAAAAAAGTTTATTGATGTGAAAGCACTCTCCCAGTTTATAAGATTTAAGACCCATGCAAAGTCCCTGGGAGGTGGGGTGAAGAGAGTACTAAAGTTTCTCCAAAAAGCCTGGAGAAAATCATAAGCTGTACAAGTGCTGGAACTGCTTTGTTTTACAGTTGTAGGGGAACCAAAGGGCTCTCCAAAGTGAGCATACTAGAGAGGAGACACTGAGTCAGGAAGTCTTACCAGACCACTACATTCCATGAGAGGAAACTTAATTTGTCAACAAAAAGGAATATGTTGGTGAGAGAAGCTCAGTATTGGCAAGCTTTCATTAGCCAGGCATGAAGGTAGGCAATGCTTCTAATAATTGGGCTCACTCACAGGATCCCTACTTACCAGAGATCAGATGAACTGTCAGACATGGCGGGGGGGGGGGGCGGATTATGATAATAAGTAGCAGCATAAGGGCAGCAACCAGGAGAAGACCTAAAGAGAACTATAGTTCATGGAATATAGCATATCTATGTTATAGTTATAGACAAATGAGTTTACCCAACCAACAAAATTATGACATATACAACCAAAGCAGAGGATGGAAGATGAAGAGGCTGAGGGCAGTCACCCAAATAAAAAAAATTCCATCTCTTTCCCAGATTCCAGACCTGAGGCAATTTTCAAAACACAGAAATTGCTGACTGAAGGCAAGATTTGTACCTCAGGAGGAAAAAGTTGACACACCACAGAATGAGTACACAGTAATGATTCTCCCAGTTCCTGTCAATCAGACGTTGTGACTGACTTGGGTAACTGTACACAGAAGAGAGAAAGCAAAGTATTTCAGGATTTATTAAACACAAAGTCCAAGTTGACACAGATATCTGGAGTCCCAAAGCATCGTATGACTCCTGTTGCAGAGAGGTAGGTACTTAGTAAGTGGAGTCACAGTGGGCTCCTAGAGACCACTGGGTTTGGGGACTTACTGGGTCTCTATGCAATTGAAATTGACATACTTAACTGTGTATTTTTTCTCTTTTTTTTTTTCTCTGACAGGCAGAGTGGACAGTGAGAGAGAGAGACAGAGAGAAAGGTCTTCCTTTGCCGTTGGTTCACCCTCCAATGGCCGCCGCGGCTGGCGCGCTGCGGCCGGCGCACCGCGCTGATCCGATGGCAGGAGCCAGGAGCCAGGTGCTTTTCCTGGTCTCCCATGGGGTGCAGGGCCCAAGCACCTGGGCCATCCTCCACTGCACTCCCTGGCCACAGCAGAGGGCTGGCCTGGAAGAGGGGCAACCGGGACAGAATCCGGCGCCCCGACCGGGACTAGAACCCGGTGTGCCGGCGCCGCTAGGCGGAGGATTAGCCTAGTGAGCCGTGGCGCCGGCCTGACATACTTAACTTTTGAGAATTCCTCACAACGGTTCTTCCATCTGTAGATTAAGAGCAACCTCAGTGGGAGAGGCAGAGACAGAACTGAAACTCACACTTCACAGTGATCATGGATGTACTGATGTTGAAACCATGGGAGGACAGGCACAGATTATGTCACTGTTAAAGACACAATAGACTAAGGATTGATGATCCATATAATATCCCCTTACATTTCTTCAAAATCCAGATGGGTCCTGGGTTTACAATGTACTGAAAACTAGATGAAACCTAAGCATAGTTGCTTTGTTAGATGGGTTGTCTTTGCTACAGCCAGTTGGCAATGCCTGAGGCACATGGTATGTAGTAAGTAATCTGACCAGCTTGCTCTTTTCTGCTTCTTCAGAAAGGAGGGCAAAAAGCCATTTGTGTTAAACTCCAAATTATACTGTACTCCACCATATTGTACCTTAACAGTGTTAATTCAGCAACACTTTAACTCTCCTGTCTCTGAATCAACATATACTCTGAAGATGCCTCAAATATGCTGCAGGCCTACTGACCAATTTGCAGAGGGAGAACTTCCAATAGGGGCCAAAGTGAGCATCCCTTAATCTTTAAACTAAGGCTGCCAATCCATTACTTTAGGCTATTTGTGCATATTTCCTCCCCTTCTAAGCATCCTCCAAAAAACCCATCAATGCTAATTTCAGAGTATGGCAGCCCTTTCTCCCAGGACCTGGCCTTTGACAACATTCAGTTTCTCATTGTATATACACATTTATTTTTCTTATTGTCTATTTTCTCTTGTATCCATGTAGGATGTGAGATGCAAGAGACTGGGAATTTTTATTTGCTTTCTAACAAAAATGTCCCAGAACAGATACCTGCTCATGAAAACCTCAAAACTATTTGATTAAATGCATGTTGCACATGAAGGCTTAACTTACAGCTTTAACTTTTGGCTTTATGAATGGTTTTGCAACATTTCAATACGAGCACACTCAAATTTTGTCTTTTAGAGTGTCTCTCACATGTGATTTAAACCTTTCAAAATCTACTATTTGAAAACCTTGGGCCTTCTTTTAAGTACATCAAGTATTCTTCTCACTTGCTATTAATTTATAAATCACGTTATAATTTCCGAATTATATAAACAATAAATATTAAATTTTACTTGTAGAACATAGAGAATAAAGAAAAGCTACAACCCAAAGGTAAATGCTATTAGATGATCATTATTTAATACTTCTAGGCATAATATCAACACAGTTTAAATTGTACCTAAGTAAGACATTATTTTGTTATTAAGGTGGTTACCTCTTGTTTCATTTTGATAACTTTACAATACCTCTAGGCCAATTGCTTCCCCTGTGACCAAGATTATATTCTACCTTTCTGTATGCATACACAATCATTTACAAATATGTTTATGCCTTTTGGGTTTGACCATGATTTGTCTTAGATATTGTGATGAACAGATGCACCACCCAGATGCCCCTACATGAAGGAATGGAAGCTGGGAATGCTAACAACAGGTGCTTTGAGCTCTCACTCCCATCAGTGACTGTCTTGACTGCAGAGAGATATCTAAGCCATGGTCCTATGGCTTCCTGAGACGCTCACATCAAATGACTGACCCTATTTGCATAATGTTGGAGCACTCTGGTGGCCATTTTAGCTCTATATCTCCCCTCTAGGTTAGCCAAGATTCTAATTAGACATGTTTCTTTTTTCAAGATTTATTTTCTTTATTTACTTCTAAGGTTGAGTGGCAGAGAGTGGAAGACACATACACACACACACACACACACATATAACACAGAGAGAGAGAGAGAGAGAGAGAGAGAGAGAGAGAGAGAGGGAGATCATCCATCTACTGGCTCACTCCCCAAATGGTTGTAATAGCTAGGGCTGTGCCAGGCTGAAGCTAGGAGCCCAGAGCTGCTTCTGGTTTTCCCTTGTGGGAGCAAGGGCTCAAGCACTTAGGCCATCTTACATTGCTTTCCCTGGCACATTAGCAGGGAGCTGGATTGGAAGTGGAGCAGCTGTCTCTCAAACTGGTGCCCACGTGGGAGGCTGGCATCACAGGCAGATGCTTAACTTGTAATGCCACAACACTAGTCCTGAGACATGTTTCACAGTTCAATTTCACTACCTCTCCAGTCATGCTTTATTCCCCTCCTTTCTTCAGGTGTTGATTCCACGAGACTCCCTAATAGATACCCTCAAGTCTACATTCCATCTGATTCTGCTTCCTAGAGAATGCAACTTACATGTGTAAAGGATCTTTTTTTGTATTCATCTCTGCATCTGCTTTTCTCTCTAGCTTTAATCACAGAATCTGTGCCAGACAATTGACATAGGGGGTAATGCTTTCTTTTGAATGATTATGTAATCTTCCAGAGTTTTCATGTTCCAAATTTGTCCAACTTTCCATACTAGGAAACATTCTAGTAGTTTCCAAATTTTATTCTTAACCATATAAAACCTCCTGAAATAAATGCCCCTGGTACAGGCCAAGTTAAACTCGAAATTTCATGATGACTTTCAAAGTCTGTATTCCACTCTCACCAATAAGTCTGCCTTGATTTTTTTAAGGAAGTCCATTGTACTCTACTTCTTTTCTTTTCTTTTCTTCTTCTTCTTTTTTTTTTTTTTAAGATTTACTTACTTATTTGAGAGGCAGAGTTACAGAGAGGCAGAGGCAGAAAAAGAGAGATGTCTTCCATCCACTGGTTCACATCCCCTGGCCTCAATGGCTGGAGCTGCACCGATCCAAAGCCAGGAGTCACAGCTTCCTTAGGGCCTCCCATGCAGGTGCAGGCTCCCAAGCACTTGAGCCCTTTTCCACTGCTTTCCCAGGCCATAGCAGAGAGCTGGATCGGAAGAGCACCCATATGGGATGTTAGTGTTTCAGGCAGTGGCTTTACCTGCTATGCTACAGCGCTAGCCCCTACTTAATTCTTCGTATAATTTTGAGAATTATAATATCAACACAAGTTCATGGCTACTAAGTATAGAATGAAAGTCCTCCATAATTTTGGGGTATTCATCTCCCAATTTTGTAAAAAAAATTTCCTAGTGTTCTTAATTTATTGATATTCTTGTTTAGGTGGGATAAATCACTCTCATAAAGTAGTACCATATTTACTCCTCTCTTAATCTAATCCACACACAATGAAAAAATATTAAAAACTTTAAAATGTAAAAAAAAATAAAAACCAAAGACTACATTGGAATTTTGGCCATACAAAATATTGCATGCTCAATATCCAAATTACTCAAAATTCTATGTTTCAGTTTCCTAATTTGTATTCCTTACCGGGTTTTAATGAAAACTTAAAATTCTATAGGCTCATTGTTAGAGAAAGTACTAGGCATATAGTATGTGGTCTATAAATCATTATAATTATTTTCTTAAAACTCTTGGGTTTCCACTCAGGGGTGTGTTTGTGTGTGTTCATCTTAATGGTATACCCACATTTTTCTAAAGTTGCTTCTTTTGAGAGAAATCCATCTTTGCAGTGCTTTATGAAAGTAAAAATACTGTTTCATGTGTGGATTTTGCTATATCTAACTAGATGCATTTTTGCCTTATAAAATTCTAAATTCACTGTATTTCACAAGTGACCAGAGTACAATTCTTTGGCCACATGAAAAAGAAGTGCTACCATAAGTTTATGGACTTTACTAATTAAGTTGGAATTTCACCTTCAAAACAGAGAAGGTGACACAAAACCAAGAAAAAAATTATAATTTCGTTTTTTACATATTTATTTTATTTGTTGGAAAGGTAGAGTTACAGATAGAGGTAGAGACAGAGAGAGAGAGAGAGAGAGAGTCTTCTGTCCTCTGGTCACTCCCCAAATGGTCACAACAACTGGGGCTGGGCCAGGCTGAAGCCAGGAACCAGTAGCTTCTTCTATTTGTGTGCAGGAGCCCAAGCACTTGGGCCATCCTCCACTGTTCTCCCAGATGCATTAGCAGGGAGCTGGATTGTAAGTGGAACAGCCCAGACTAGAACTGCCACCATTATGGAATGCCAATGCTTGAGGCCAGAGTTTTAACCTGCTGCATTACAGCATCAGTCCCAAACGTAGTTTCAAAGAGCCAAGTCATATCTAAATTAGGGACATTGTGGAAGCCTGTGCAAGAAGTCAGCCAGCATCCTTTCTCTCCCTCTGTTGCAAGGACTGTGAGCCAATTTCCTCCACTATTGGTACCCATAAGCCCTTTTTATTGTGGAATAAAGAACAAGAAGATGCTTTTTTCTGCAGATGAACCTGATTTACCTTAGAGGCAACATGCAGACCTGTTATGCAGTGCCAGTAGTTCCAATTTTTTTTCTCCCTCTATTTTCTGACATATTTTCTACTTGGCAACATTTTACTATTGGTTCTTAGCCCCTTTTGACCTCCTAGCTTTTCTTCCTGGATTATTTCTTCCGTCCTGTCTAGCAACTCTACTAATCCAAGTATTTAGAAATACTGCTCTTGATCTTTCATCTTTTCTTCAGGTGAAAGGTGATTGAACTCAACCCAGAAGCTCCCACCTGTTGGAGATTAGGTACTTAAATAATGAGTTGGAGAGCAGTGGATGAGTGGAAGATACAGGGAGTCTCCAAGAAAAGGCATAAAAGAGGCAAAGAAATCTCTTGCAGAGAAATCTCTGTAAATCTTTGCCCAAAGTCTGTGTTAGCAGAGTGAATCCATTTTGGATTCAGTGCTGAGAAAACACCCGGGCTCCATCTTGGTGTAGTGCTTTGTGAAGTAGTTCAGAGCAAAAACTGTGCTACAGGGGCCAATGCTGTGGAGCAGTAGGCTAAGCCTTTCCATGCAGCGCTGGCATCCCATGTAAGCACCGGTTAGTATCCCAACTGTTCGTCTTTCGACCCAGCTCTTTGCTTATGATCTAAAAAGCATGGAAAATGGCCCAAGTGCTTGGGCCCCTGCATTCATGTGGGAGACCTGGAAGAAGCTTCTGGCTCCTGGCCTTGGTTCAGCTCAGCTCCAGCCTTTGTGACCATTTGTGGGGTGAACCAGCAGATGGAAGACCTCTCTCTCTCTGTCTCTCCCTCTCTCTGTCTGTAACTCTACCTCTCAAATAAATAAAAATCTAAGACAAAAGATTTCTAAAAAAACTGTGCTAGATTTTATGTGATATGACAAAATAACATTTAGGATGGACATTAGAAGATCTGACAGTAAAATAAGTACTCAAGAGAATGTTATTTAAGTGCATGATTCCATAATATATTTATGAAATCTTTTATTTAATAGTTCACAACCTGAGGTGGTGTCTGTCCCCTTTGGAGCATTTGGACCTATGTGCAGACCTTTGTGATTACAGAAAACAGTATGGAGTTTCCTGAAAAAAATTAAAAATAGATTTTGCATATTACTCAGCTATACCACTTCTGGGACTATATCCAAAGGAAATGAAGTCAGCCTGTGAAAGAGATACTTGCACTCTCATGTTTATTGTAGCAGTATCCACATTAGCAAAGATTAGAAATCAACCTAGATGTCCATAAGTAGGTGAATGGATAAATAAAAAGGGGTGTATATACACAATGGCACATTACTCATCATAAAACAAGAATGAAATCCTGACATTTGGAATCAAATGGATGAAGATTTGGGAGTGGACCAAAAGATGGGAACTCTCTCTCTCACTGCACCTCAAATAAATAATTAGTAAAAGAAATTTATTTTCTATAAAACACATTTTTGAATATAGGAAAAATATATATTTATATACACCAATTAAAACATCAGAGTTCATAAAAAATGTATGGAATTGGAGCTCATTATTGTAAGTAAAAGAAACCAGACACAGAAAGACAAAAAGTGCATATTCTCTTGTATATGTGGAAGATAGCATGTACAGCAAAAAAATTTTTATTGTATGTATTTATGAATGTTGTCTTCACTAAATTATAGGTCCTAAATAATAATATGCATGTCTTTCTCTTAAAAAATTGAGAAAAAAAAAATGAGTGAGCAGTATTATTTGCATATTGTTGGCAGTGACCAAAGATATAAACAGTCTGTAGGTTTTTCTGGAAATCCAGTCAAATAAACAATTGCTTTACACAAAATGCCATTGGTACCCCAACTGAGAAATACAGTGACATGGATACAGTTATATTGCCAGGCTAATCATACCCCACTGTTTTACATGTTACCCTGTATGACTCAGTCTATAACACAGCAGTTACTCCTGTACCCATCATCTCCAACACTAGCTACATAAAGGAAATCTATAGTTTTCAAGGTGGTCTATTCAGATTCAAGGATGGAAAGTCAAAATAGTCCTTGCTATGAAAATTATTTTCAAAAATACCTAAAAGAAATATTCTCCCTCTACTTCTTCATCAGCTGAAGATCTTGTTTTTAACAAAATATATACAACTAATAAAACAAACTGCCCAGACTCAGTGCACAAATCTCTGGTGAGGCCAAAGATGTTTAAATATAAGTAGATATACGTGTGCATACAAATATGCAAATATGTACATACAACTTTTTATGCAAATTAGCAATGACCAAGTTAGGCTATGTTTACTAAAAGAAAATTTACCTGAGAAGGAGAACTTTAATAAAAATGTAAATGACAATCCACAGGAATGGTATCAGGCATCCTGAAGACGCAGATCCTGATGGCTACAAGATGCAAACTCATTACCACATTGTAAATAGAAGGATGAGTGAAAACTTCCTGTGCTGGTAAAAAAAAAAAAAAAATACAAACTGAAAAACCATGTTTTACTCAGCCGAATCTTTCTTCTTTTGTTTCACCTTAAAATGTTTTAAGCTAGTTGTAAAAGTGCTACTGTGCTCTTAATGGGACAGCAGTTTAGACATTTACATCGTCCAGTGGTGAAATCTGTGTGTGATCAAGTTAGTAGCTGCAATGTCATTTTTCTGACTAGCATTGGAATATAACAACCCAGGAAATTAGAATAATCTTCTCTTCTTTTTGATATACCCATTTAAATAAGAGTCCGAAATATTTTTCTTTACAACATCTGATTCATTTTAAAGACCCTGTTTCAAAGTTATTAGTTAATTAGACAATGTAGTTGTTATCTAAATATTTTTCATCAAGGAAAGATTTTTGAGGGGCATCTCTTATTTGAGATCCACATAAATAGAAAAAAGTGTCTCCACTTTAAGAATGTATTCTAAATTCTACATGCTAGTTTTTACATGTTGAAAAGTCTCAAAATTTCTTTTTTTCTCTTTGCACTAGCAACTGAAAGAAATACCATCATACAGGGGACATTCCAGCCTAAAGTACAAATTGCATATAATCTAAATAATATGGCCAAAATATTAAATTAAATTCAAAGTAGATAATCCTATCTTATTGTTACACTTTAGACTTTAAATGTTATTTTAATTCTATCACAAGCCTAAACAAAAGACTAATCACTTTGGTCCAGTTTGCGATTCAACCTGAAAACAATCCATGACACATTTTTGTAGAGACACAGAAAGAAAGAAGGGACAGATGTCACAGGATTTGTGATTTAGCCGTGCAAGACAGAGGTTCAAAGAATCTAATCCTAGAGACTATCTTAAAAGCAAAGGTATCTTTCTATTGCATGATCCCCATGTGGCAACTAGTACCATGTGATGCATAAGTGAAATTTGAGGACCCCTAAGTTTGAAATACTATATATTGTCAAGAGAGATAAGATTGAGACCATGAATATCATAAGCTTCCAGTAGTCAGGCAGACTTGTCTCTACCCTTGACTACTCCACTTGCTGAATTAGCCTTCTAACCTCTCAAAACCTTGTCTTCAGTAAAATTCATTAGTTGAAAAGGATGACTTCCAGCTTTAAAACCCTACGTGTTAAAATTCTTCTTTTCCTATACTTTCCCTAGAAGTTCCAATAGAAGCATGAAAAATAAAACTAAGGATGAGAACTGAACGATTTAATGACCTAAATAAAACTTCCTTCATGCTATCTAAATAAAATGATATATTCCCTATGCCAAACATTATGAACAAAAGTATGAATCAACTTCCCCAAATAGAGAAAAAAAATTTATAAGCAGCATGCCAAATCATGTCTTCATAAGCAAAAAATTCACAAAAATTCAAAAGAAAATTACAGTACTTTTTTTTCTAAAATAGTAAGATGGCAAGAAGAAGTGATTCACCCATCGAAATTCATATTTTTAATAAACTTATGAGTGAATGCACTAGACTGTCTGAAAAATTTGCTCTTTTCATTTTCCATACTACAATTCCCCATCTTTCAAGACTTATCTTGTAATTGCAATTTCTTGTCACCAGCTATAGTCACCCATCTTGTTCACCCAGTTCACCTCAGAATTAATTAGGTCCCTCCACTTAGGCAAAAATTCTCTTAATACCACAGCATCAAATCTTTAAATCTATTTGCATTTATTCATATACTCTCTATCTTCCTACTATAAGAGTTGAAATGTAGCTATTGGAAAACCAGACAAAACCTGCACTTGTTTTCTGAATCCCACAAACTCTTATTTTTTCAAAGGTTGCTATCAGATATTCCTTCTCTAAATAATCAAGGATCTCTTTTCTCCAGAATAATTTCACCCTCCAAAAAAACAGAATAACATCTGGAGCTTCACACATGATAAAAATAAACAAAATCTACTGGCATAATTCTCTTTTTCTATATTAATAGCCAGACATCATGCAATGATGATTCCTCTCCACTTACTTCAATCCAATTTCTGAACCCACATAGCCACTGAATGTGCTGTTGTCAACTTCATTGACCCTAGTTAATTTGCCAGTATAATTATCACTTCTCTGTCCTTGTTTTGCTGGCTCCCTTAGCAGCGTTTCTCCCAGGGATGATTCCTGAGACATTTCCTTCTCTTTGATCCAGGATAATGCATTCCCATAGCTTACAGGCTGCCCACTGGAAGACTGGATCCTGTCTCTTATGTTGGCTCTGTCTCTTCAACCTAAGCTCTATTTCTCAGAGTGTGGCCATCGACTCTTTCTCTTCTGTTTCTGTTTCTGTACATGATCTCATCCAGTCTTGTGGCTTTTAATTCCATCAAATGCTGATGAAGTCTAGATGTCCAAGTTTATGTCAGTTTATCTACCTGTCAGTCAGCATCATTATTTCCATGTTCCACAGAACAGAACCTCAAACAAAAGAGATCCTACAACACTCTCTTAATTTGGTGTCGCTCACTGCCTGTTCCTTCCAGAGTTTTACCATATCTGTAAATAACATCATCAGCTATCAGCCTGCTCAAGACAAAACCTGAGTGAGTCATCTTCGAAATCTTCATATTCATAACCCCCTTATAAAATCTAAAACACAAGTGGCTTGTTTTTAAAATATTCATTTATTTGTTTGAAAGGCAGAGTTACAGAGAGAGAGGATGAGACAAAGAGATAAAGGTATATTCCATTGGCTGATTCACTCCCCAAATGGCCACACTAGCCAGGGCTGGGCCAGGCTGAAGTCAGTAGTATGAAACTCCATCCTGGTCTCCCACATTAGTGGCAGGGGTACAAGCACTTGGGCTATCTTCTACTGTTTTCCCAGTCACATTAGCAGGGAACTGGATCAGTAGTCAGGACTCAAATTGGCCCTCTGATAAGGGATGCTAGTTGTGGCTTTACGGGCCACAACGCCAGACCCCTTAATTTATTTTTTAATCTCAAATAATTCTTCAAATGGAAGCACTATCAAGACTCATATGGCGGGCCGGCGCCGCGGCTCACTAGGCTAATCCTCCGCCTAGCGGCGCCGGCACACCGGGTTCTAGTCCCGGTCGGGGCGCCGGATTCTGTCCTGGTTGCCCCTCTTCCAGGCCAGCCCTCTGCTGTGGCCAGGGAGTGCAGTGGAGGATGGCCCAGGTGCTTGGGCCCTGCACCCCATGGGAGACCAGGAAAAGCACCTGGCTCCTGGCTCCTGCCATCAGATCAGCGCGGTGCGCCGGCCACATCGCGCTGGCCGCGGCGGCCATTGGAGGGTGAACCAACGGCAAAGGAAGACCTTTCTCTCTGTCTCTCTCTCTCTCTCACTGTCCACTCTGCCTGTCAAAAAAAAAAAAAAAAAAAAAGACTCATATGGCAGGGGCCAGCGCTGTGGCACAGTGGGTTAACGCCCTGGCCTGAAGCACAGGCATCCCATACGGGCGCCGGTTCAAGATCCGGCTGTTCCACTTCCGATCCAGCTCTCTGATATGGCCTGGGAAAACAGTGGAAGATGGCCTGAATCCTTAGGTCCCTGCACCCATGTGGGATACCTGGAAGAGGCTCGTGGCTCCTGGCTTCGGATCGGCACAGCTCCAGCCATTGTGGCCAACTGGGGAGTGAACCATTGGATGGAAGACCTCTCTCTCTCTCTCTCTCTCTCTTTCCCTCCCCCTCTCCTCTCTCTCTGTAACTCTGACTTTCAAATAAATAAATCTTTAAAAAAAAGACTCAAATGCTGTATAGCTACATCATCTACTTAGTGTTCCTACTGTCACTCTCCCCTCCTTCTCCACTTCACCGGCAGCCAGAGCGAGTGGGGGAATCTGAAGAAAACTTCAAAGCCTTCTACCTTCACAACTAAAACAGTCCATACACCACACTAAGACTGCAAAGCTGCAAATAACTCAGCCCTTTTTAGTCATTGTACTTCTGCTTCATTAAGCTTATTGTGCTTGTTACACAATAAATTTGTTACTGTCTCAGGACCTTTACTTCTATCCTTTCTCTGCCTGAAATGTGCCCCCTCCTCTCTGCCAAGTCATCAGATTGGCAAACAAGTGGTTCATTTTTCAGAGTTTAGACCTAAGTCACTTTTCTCAGAAAGAACTTTCCCTGGTGACCCATGTAAAATGATGTCCCTGCTCTCAGCTCAGGCATTTGCTCTCTCCACACATCCCTGTGTTTCCTGAACTGATTGTTTACTGTGTCCTTTGTTTACATGTTTATTATATCTCCCACGAGGTAACAAGCTTCCAGAGGGCTAGATATTTACTGTTTTATGTACCACTCCACATCAGCTACCAGAAGAGTACAATATATATTTGTTGAATAAATGAGTAAATCCAAAGCTATAACAGAAAGAAGCTATGAACTATGTTTGAAAGTCTGACACAACACCTTAAATGTAGAATTACTCAAGTTATATAGCAGACTTCCTTGAACTCCAAGTTTGTATATGGAAAGAAACTACTCTACAGAATTCTTAATCAGGCATCCCATAGAATCTCAAATTTCTATGATCCAAAACACAATTCTAGATATGGCCACTGACCAATCCATTTAGTCCATATTACCCTATCTCCTCAAGGCACTCAAGACAAAATCTGGAAATGAAACATTTACATGATGCACATACAAGGGGTCTTCAGAATGTTCATTCATCATCTTTTAATTGTATTTTCCACAAATGTTTTTAATCCCTCTTACTGACACACATACATATATACATAAGGGGCCTTCAAAATATTCATGAAAATGCATATTATGAAAAAAACTATAAATGGAGTTCAAATTCTTTCTGCCTCCAAATAAAATTATCTTTTGATCCTACCTCCACAAACTTTTAGAGGTTTTAAATTTTATTTTATTCATCTGAAAAGCAAAGAGAAAGAGAGGGAGAGAGATAGCTAGCTATTGCTGTGGTTCACTCTCCAAATGCCTGCAATAGCTGGGATGGGGCCAGAAACTCAATTCAGGTCTCTGATGTGGGTGGCAAAGACCA